TTTACATGAAAATAAATTTTAGTTTTCAATCTTACATTTTTTACTGGTAAGGTTGCTTTAACTGACTTCATATGTATATCAGAAGACACCCATTTGATCTGCAAAATTGTGTAAAAGAGCAAATTCTATACAGCAATAACAGTTACATTCTATTTAAGCTTCCAAACACTACTTGAAAGCAATGATGATCAAAGTTTGAATCGCTAGACGCTTGACTGATGCTTTAAAAAAATATGCACGATGCAGAAAATCCTACTGAAATCCCCATTCCAGACAAATCTTATTTTTTTCTGGAATTTTTCAGGACAAGTCTTTAAGCTTTAATTAAAAAAGGGCATTGCTTCCTGGGAACTGCCACAGGAGATGTACAGTAAAAAAAAATACCATTCAGTGGGGCGTTGGTCTTTCAATGTGGCTTAAAGGGCAACATCAAAATCTATTAAACAACACAGGGATGCATTAACCCCCATGTGAAGTTATGCACCAGTAAAATATATTACTTTAAGCACTGTTTCACTCTGAATGTGACTTTGAAATTGTGCTACTTCACTTGAAGTAGCTCGATTTCAAAGCCGCTGGTCAGTACAATTTCATGTGTGACTTGCCTCACATCTGTGTGACTTCATGCACAGATGTCTATGCAAGTCACACATGAGATTGCAAAAAATAGTGCAGGTACCTTTTTTCAAAACTGGTGCAACACCACAGTCAGAGTCACAAAGATTTGAATGGTTCCACAAGCACAAATAGGGTGCGACTTGTCAACCGATTTGTAACAGTCAAATCACATGACAAGTCACATCACTGTGAACCAGGGCTAAGAATATATGCTAAGAATGTATTTTCATATAAATTATTCAACAAACCAGCCATTTTCCACCAATAAAGACTGGATTTTAGATAAAAGCCAAACTAATCTACCATTGTGTATTTGTGTTGTCCTGATTTATAAATTATTTTATTTAAGAAAAGCATCAGTACAAATATTATGGATAGACAGAATATCATAAAGTACCATTTGCCAAAAACCAATGGGCATGACAATAGAAACAATGCACAAGGGTCACAAATAGTGAAAGTGCAACGATACACAGTGATATGAGCCTCAGATTCCAGTCAAGGTAGTGTTGATTTCTGACCCTGGACTAGTGATTTTTGCTTCTCAGAAAACCTTTTTGTTTTGTTTTTTTAAATTTTTGGTTAAAGCGGAGTTCCACTCAAAAATGGGGGAGGGGAAGTGCCACCATTTGGGGGGAGCGGGTACCTGGTTTTGACAGGTATCTGCTCCCACTTCCGGCTAAGTTTGCCATGCTCCTCCTTCCCCTGCATCCCTCTGGGACATTTTACAAGTCCCAGAGGACTGAGGCCCATTCACAAAGCGCAGTGCAATTCGCAGTAGGAAGCTGGCTGTGAAGAATTAGCTCGGGGTGAGGACTTTGCTGGACCCCGGGACAGGTAAGTGCCCTAATATTAAAAGTCAGCAGCTACAATATTTTTAGCTGTTGACTTATAATTTTTGGGAGGGGGGCTGGAACTCTGTTTTAACAGTTAAACAGAACATTCAACTAAAGAGAGAAAGGAGGAAAAAGAAGACGAAGAAAGAGAGAAAAAAGTAGGTCGGGAACAGAGAGATGGAAAGGGAAGAAGAGACATAGGATACTAGAGGGTAGCAGAGGGGTGCCCAGTACTCTCCCTCTGCTCCAAAAGGTCACAGTTCCAAGACATAGAAGTGTCAGATACAGCCCAGCCTACGATTGGTTGGTGATAGTGGTGTCTGGTTCTTGTAAAATAAGTAAGGCCCAGATCTGCCAGTACTTCTCCTGTAATCATAGTAAGATTTTCCACTTGTTGGAATGCCAAATTTGGCCAACCAATGCAACTTAGAAGGTGTTAATTGTTTCCAAAGTGCAGGAATGCAGGCTTTTGGCTGTAGTGAGGTGTCTCACTATGGAGTGTTTGTACTTTTTTGATAGATAGAGAGGTGTCACGCAATAGGTATGCTATCAGATTTTCCCAAGAGACTCATAATGGTAATGGTAAAGATTTTAATTGTTTGTTCAATCATGTGCCAAAAATCTCTGAGTTTTCAGCAGTCACAAAAAATGTGCAATAAGGTGCCTTCCGATACAAGGCAACACCTATACCATCCAGTGAGGCACTTGAATCCACCTTCCTGATATTTACTCACTATAGAAGCCTTTTACGCAAAGAGCATAATCCTGTCTTTTTGAGGTTGAGAAAAAGTAACATTGAAATCTCTTTCCCAACTCTGAGTTCCTGTGATGCCCCTACTTCTGTCAATGAGGCATCTATTAGTGAGAGAGTATGCCTTACTGGAATCCTGTCAACACAAGTGTGGTAAAATGAGGATGGCTTTCTCAACGTTGTGTTCCTTCAATAGATTGTGGAGGTACATTCTCAACTGGACACAGCAGAAGAAGTCCAACGTATTTGAGAAGTTGTGTTCTGATTCCTGGTTAATCATGAGATGATTGTTAAAGCAGAAATGTAGCAACCAGAATGTCCTCTGTAGAATAAGGTCATTAAATTGAGAGTCATCTTTTCTATGTGGAAAGTTTGTTGCTCCAAGCATGGGGATCATTGGGCTACGGGAGGGTGAGAGAGAGGTAGATCTGAAAACTGTCCTAGTTGTTTGCAGAGTAGCCCTATAAGTGGATGTTGCTTCATGGATGCTGTAAATGATCCTTCTGGGATCCAAGGGAGCCCCACTAACAGAGAATCTATGGGCACTTTCCCATGTTATCACCTCATATTAGGTACACAAGTCAACTACTCTGGTTAGATGAGTTGCCTTGATATTTCACTGGATCCAGAAAGCTAAAAAGCTAATTCCCCCTTTCATTTTGGGAAGACAATGTATTGAACTCCCTAATCTTGCTGACGTTCCTGCACAAATAAAATTCAAAATATGGCGCATAAGTCTGTCAAGAATCCCATAAGGAGTTTGATAGGGAGTGCCTAGAGTAGATATAGAAGGCGAAGCATCACATTCATTTTATTAATATTTTTCTGACCAAACCACATAAATATTTCCCTATTTTTAGCAATGGAAATCTAGTGTGAACATTCTAACTAGTGGGATTAGGGCTGCTGTTAGAAACCACGGGGCCCCATACAGCCAACTTGACAGTCCCCCCCCCAAAAAAAAAACAAACAGTTTACTATGCTGCTTTTTTGAATGAACATAGTGAGTGATCAGTACTGATCACTCATTGTGTTCATTCAGGAAAGGAAGGAGCTGGTAAATGTGACACATTTACCAGACACTTCTCCCACTCTCCTTCTTGAAGGACCCAGAGGGGTCTGGGCAACAGGGAGAAAAGTATGGTACACAGGGGGAGTGATGGGTGTGGCGCGGGGGGGAAAGGGTGATTACTGGAACTGATCACCTGTGTGGCTCTCTGCCACACAGGTGATCAGAGGAGAAGCAGCTTTCAGCTGCTGCAGAGAGAGCCATAGAGGGGATCGGTTCCAGTACCCCCCCTCATTCCCCTGTTATGCCGATTACCCTCTCTGCCAGCATCCGATTCTCCCAGCTGCCTGGACCCCCCTGCTAGCCTGGGCACTGTATAGGAGGACTGGTGGTACCCCCTTATCCATGGTCCTGAGTGGGATTAAATGGACCTCAAAGACTGGATGCAGGTTACTTAGTGTTATGTGTTCCCACATATCATATTTTGGGAGTCCATCCTTTTGAAGCTAAAGTGTGTACAAATTTCAGTTCTGTGGTTGTGTGTGATCTCAATACTCATAGCTTCTGACGGAGTAGTTACCTTTAAAATTTGATAACTCATCATTATTTATGCAATTCTGCCAAAGGAATAGGCAGGTAGATCAGGGAGGATATTACAAAGAAAATTAGGTCTTCCACATAGGCAGCATGTTTGTTTCCCCCTTTAATATGGAGACCCTCTATATCGTGACTAGATCTAATCATCCTCAAAAAAAGTACTCTAGGGAGAGTGTGAAGATAAGCAGTGAGAGAGGGCACCCTTGGCGCATTTCATTTCGTATGGAAAAGGCCTCTGAGATAGTACCATTGATTTTCACCTTAGCCAGCAGGTTAGAGTACAGTAAAGAGTGCCATTGTTTTATCCCCTCTCTAATGTTGCTTTAAGAATATTGTCCTCACCTTCCCTGTCTGGAGTGAACCTGGACAGATCCAGATGGACAAGAGTTGGGATATGCGGAAGCAGTCTGGAAGATAGGGAACAATCCTGATTCATACATCTAAAAAATAATTAAGAAGCTTAAGAATAATTAATAAATAATAATAATTAATAAATAAGAATAATTAATAATTAATTATTAATAAAAAAATTAATAATTAATAATAATAATTAAGAAACCCATTTGTAAAGAACTAAGAATTGCAACCTTGCTGCATTTTTTGCAAACATTCTAGTAAATAATAGTTGACTGACCATACTGAACTGGTTTACCTATTTTATTTTACTGAGCAGAGAAAAGCTGTCTATATATAAGATTGCCCTATTCTTTAATTTTTTAAGAGCTGACTGAACTTCTTTGTTTCTTAAAGAATAAATAAAGGGATTAAGCAATGGAGTTAAGATTGTGTACAGCACAGCCAGAATTTTGTTGAAACCAGAGAATCCGCTAGTAGCTGGCCGTACATAGACAAAGATCATTGTACTGTAATAGACTGTAACTACACTAAGGTGTGATGTAAATGTTGAACTAGCTTTTTTCCTTGCCATTCCTGAAGATATTGCCAGTACAGTGGTGAGTATTCTAAAGTACGATAGCAAGGTGATGATACAGGATCCCACCAATATGAGAGAAGCTAAGAGAAAGATAAACAACTCTGTACGATGCACATTGGTGCAAGACAGTCTGAGGAGTGGTGTGATGTCACAGAAGAAATGTTGTATGTGGTCAGGACCACAAAACTGCAATGAGGAGATGAAAAGAATAGAGGACATAGTAGATATGAAACCTGATGACCAACAGCAACTCACCAAGAAGTTGCAGATCCTGGAGGTCATAAGAGAGTGATAATGTAAAGGTTTGCAGACTGCTAAAAACCTATCATAACCCATTATAGCAAGTAAAAAACATTCTGTTGACCCAAGGGATCCAAAAAAGTACAATTGGGTAAGGCAAGCTACAAATGAAATAGAACTATTGCCCATCGCTGAACTGTGAACCATTTTGGGGACAGTGACAGAAATGTAACACATTTCCAAAGCAGCAAGATGACTAAGGAAATAATACATTGGTGTGTGGAGATTCTTCTCAAATCTGCAGATAATGATGATTATGAGGTTTCCAGAGAATGTTAGGATGTAAATAATAGTAAACATCATAATGAAAACAATACGACCAGTAGGAGAGTCCCAAAGTTGAAGAAGGAAGAAAACTGTGACTTGGGTGCTGTTCATATCTTGCATCTTCATGTAACTTAGAAGTGAAAATAAAACATTTACCTTTTATTCAGTTATATTGAATAAAGTATTAAGGTTTGCAAAGATAATATAACCTTTGCTGCAAATGAGTATGGAATCACAAAGTCTAAAGGCCTTTAACAAGAACATCGACTCATTTACGTACACTTTAAACCTATTTCAGGTGTGAAGGGGTTCCCAATCTGGTGTGAGATTCATAGCAAACATGCTGCTATTGCTGATAAAAGAGAGTATTCTTGACTTAGTAATTGTTCCCTCCCAATGAGACATTGCAGCATTACAGCATTCACATTGATGAACATTCAAGGAGTCTGACCGTACACACAGGCACTCTAGCCATGAGCCCCCTTTGTTCCCCCACAGTATCTTCTCATATACAACATTTGTTCATCAGGATCATCAGGAAGGGGCAAACAGTAGACAGTAAATAGCTCCTTAATAAACACATCCACGTCTCTAGCTCGCTGGATACATTTGCATCTGCAAGACAACCACGTGCTGCTGCACCACCAAAAATGTAGGTATAAATAAGAATATAAAATATTGGAAATTTGCAGTTTCTGCTGATTCATCAAACATGCATTAATGGTGTTAAATTTCCATTCTAGTATTCTACCTCATCCCAAAGGTTTCACACTGATTATTTCAAATTCTAACCCTTCCACTAGCACCAAGCAGCAGACATTTTTAGATCAGGCATGCAACTCAGTTCTAATTTTTTCATCTTAGCTGGCAGGAGTGGAACTACACTTGATCCTCATCTGTTATAGCCTATCAAAGGGTTAATATATTGTTTATTTATCGTTTGTAAGAATTACTGACCCCACCGATGTGTCCCTTTTTGTTTTCTTCCTTTGGTCAATAGTAAATAGCATGTATTTGGTCAACTTAAATTTTCTTTTACAGACAGAAGGCAGAGGAAACACATTAAAAGGAGCAAAAAGTAGAGTACATTGTGTTGTGGTTATTCTGTGCTGGTACATGATAGTGCTGTGAGGTTAGCGTGTCTTTTATTTATAAATGCTGTGCATGTTGAATAGTGTACTACTATTTTGCAGAGTTATACCCAAGGGTCTAGACTTAACTAATTAGAAAGACAACATAGTTCTAATTGCTTCCCTAAAGAAACCAGAGCTTAGAAAAGAATAGCTCTATATATTGCAGACTATATACTCATTGTACATGAATTAAAGAGAAGTATGGGGTTTGTTTTTTCCCCCCATTAATGGTGGGATCAGGAAGGGAAATCAAACTAATAATGGGATCAGTATTATCAGGCGAGTCTTAGCCAACCAGTTGCTGCAATTTGTCCGCCAGAAAATGAAGTCTGGGCTCAGGAACCGCCAACCCCCCCCAACATCTTGCCATGTTGCAACGTGGACAATTTTATCCTAGCCACTTGTTTTTTCCAAATAAAACTCCTAAACTGGGTCTCTATGCGATGAAACCATTTCTTAGTAATCCATATGGGAGAATTGTGAAAAATAAATAATCAAACAGTTGTGGGGCCCAAATCATTTTAATTAAATTGACCCTACCCACCACCAACAGAGGGAATTTGCACAAACTGTTACACTTCAATTTCTGCTGATGGTGTCGATGTAAAAGGTTAAGAGAAATATACTGCTCAGGATCAGGAGAGATTACCACCCCCAAATACTTAAATGTAGACACTACTTGGATGTGTTGTGCACAGGCTCGGAGGGGGAGTTCTACAGGATCCACAGGCATCAACACCGATTATGCCAATTAATTTTAAAGTCGGAAAATCCACCAAAGCCTTCAATAAGGGACATAACAGCATCTAAGGATGTGGAAGTTTCATCCAAATATAACAGTGTCTCAGCCACATAAAGGGATATCTTTTCTGAAAGAACACCTCTTGTAAAACCGATGATGTCCAGAGATTGTCGCACCAAAATTGCTAAAGGTTCTAACTCCAAAGTGAACAAAAGGGGCAAGAGAGGACAGCCCTGCATCGTTCCCATCTGCAGTCTGAATGAATCTGACAAATCCCCATTAACCTGGATTCGGGCACTGGGGGCCCCATAGAGAAGGCGCACCCAGCTAATGAACTTGGGACCAAAGCCAAATCTAGACAATACTTCCCATAGATAAGGCCATTCCACACTATCAAATGCCTTGGCTGCATCCAAAGACAAAATTGCCCTCCCCCGAGGATTGTCCACTGGAATTTGCAAATTCAAAAAAGTCTACGAATATTATTAGCCGTCGCTCTAGAAGGAATAAACCTGACTGATCTTTATGTATGATATTACCAATAATCCGCTCCAGTCTAGTAGCTAGAACCCGGGCCAACAATTTAGCATCCATATTCAGAAGGGAAATAGGTCGGTAGGAGTCAGGTTTTAATTGATCTTTTCCAGGCTTCAACAATACTATAATACTATACTATACTATAGTATTATAGTATAGTGGTATAGTATTATAATACTATAACAGCTTCATTCATGGAGGGTGCAAACCATTTCCATCCTTGGTGGCATTCAGGGCATTGAGTAATGCTGGAAGGAGTTGTACACCCTATCTATAATAGATTTCAAATGGCAATCTGTCTGAACACGGAGATCTATTACTGGGGTGCCTGCCAATGCTTCAGATAACGCCTCAACAGTAGTTGGCATCTCCAGTTCTCTCTGGTCAGTCTCTGATAAAACAGGAAAAGAGCAGATGTCTAGAAACTTCAAATGCTCAGAATGGGTAGTTGTGGTTTTAGAAGCATACAGATCGTTATAAAAGTGACGAAAAACTCTCAGGATTTGTGCATGACTCCTGCAGATCACTCCATCAGCATCCTCAATCTTCGCCACAAGAGTAAGAAGGTGCCCCATACTTTCCCCTTCCTCAAAATATTTTTGTTCAAAAAAATATCGCTTCTTATCTGCCACTTGAGTAAGCACTAATTCATAAAGGGCTTGGGCCTCTTTCCAGGAGGTGCTGTTACATGGGCTTGGGTCTTGGATCATCTGAACCTCCCACTGTTGAACATCTAACCGTACCTTTTCCTCCCACTCCCTGGATCTATGCTTAACCTCCGAAATCTCAAGCCCCGCAGGAAGGCCTTCATCACATCCCAAACCATTCCTGGCGGGGACAAACCTGCATTCTGCTGCAGTAAGTCTGACAACTCCCCCAGAATCAACTCGGACTCCAGAAACAGCGTCAACCAAAATGGGTTCACCTTCCACGAGAGTGTATATAACACACCTGTAGCTTGACCCAGAAAGGGGCATGGTCAGATAGAGCCCTGGGTTCATACAAGGCCCAAATCTATGCTTGAAAGCCCATCATGAGTAGCAGAAAAACATGAATAACATTTTGCTGTCGGATACTTCATCCGCCACACATCCCGGAGGCTCAGTTCCACCAATAAATTAGCAAATGGGGTAGGCTGAGAGGATAATTGTCTGCCCCTACCTCCCAAAGGCAATCTATCCAAACTAGGGAGTAAGCAATTGTTATAATCACCCAACGCCAATAGGGGAACATCAGGATGATTGGCCATGAATTGAGCTGGGCATTTAATGACCTCAGGAAAGTAGGGCGGAGGGATACAAACCGCAACCACTATACAGCAAAACCCATTCAAAGTACACAGCAGGAAAATATACGTACATGCCCTCCGCATCAGTCCACTCCTGCACATGAACAAATTGAATAGAGTTAGAGATGAGGATACACACACACACACACACACACACACACCTCTACAAAATGTGGAGTGGAAAGAATGATATTGTATGGGAAATAAACGAGAGCGGAGGGTACCAACAGTGTCAGATTTCAAATGGGTTTCCTGCAAACATACTACAGACGGTTTTTAAATGTTTAAGTACATGGAAGACAGCACCCAGTTTAGTTTTATCTCCCAGGCCCCTTACATTCCAGGATAAAACCATCAATTCTTTATGGGAGACAGACATAATTTAATATGTATTAAATGGAAAGATAACTCAATTGTGGACAGATATAACGCCCCCCCCCCCCGAGGGGAGCAATGAGCTGGTAGGCAGTAGGAGGGGCCCAGATCACATGGGTTCGGGTGACCAGGAGGACAGCCGCAGAAAGCAGGGAAGATAAACCTAGCTACATGCACTCCACTACACACAGACATCCCAGGTGAACCATAAACAAAACAAGGGAGAATACTGAAATTATTACCAACATGTAGGCCAACAGAGCCATAAAGATATTAACTGAAGACACTGGCAGGAGGCCAAAAGGTCAACTCAGGACCAAAAGCAGGTTGGGATTTGCACAATGTCTCGTGGACAAGCACACAGCAGGTAAATGTAAGAAAAGCCCAAGACGGGAGGAACCCCAACTTAGGCGGGAAAAAAATCTGATACAAAAAGGATAGGAAATGTGAGAGCAATACCCCGCTGTTCTGCTAAGCTGAGTTTAAGGCACTAAGGATCAACCAGGTCCCCAAGGTCAGGTTCCAGGGGAGTTTGCCAGGTGATGTTCCGCTCCATCCAACCACTACAAGACTGCATTAGGATTATCAAAAAAGTGAGAAGCATCATCCACAAGCAATCAAAGTTTAGACGGATATAGCATGGCATATTGAAGGCCCAATGCCCGAAGGATTTTCTTGACATCCAGGAAATTTGCACGTTGCTTTTGAACTTCCACGGAAAAATCTTGAAATAAGGATACTTGAACATTGTCAACTGACAGGTTACTCTTTCTTCTGGCCCTGGAGAGAATGGCGTCTCTGTCCCAATAATTGAGGAGTCTGAACAAAAAGGGTCGAGGAGAAGCACCGACTGGAGGAGCACGTTCTGGGACTCTGTGTGCACGTTCTACTGCAAACTTGGAGGAGACTGTATCACTGCCAAAGGTAGAGGTCAGCCAAGCTTCAATAAAGGCTACAGGATTTTTACCCTCAGTGAGCTCCAGGATACCCACTGCACGCACATTGTTGTGGCGTAACCGATTTTCCAAATCTTTCAATCTAGAGGCATTAG